ACTAGTCAAATTATATAGAAGAATAACTCCATAGTTTCACTCAAATAGCCTAAAATTGTTCCAAAACAAATCTTTCGCATCTGTGCTTATGATTCCCAACTGGTTCAAACATCCCCGGAACGAAGTGACTGCTGCCGGCCGAGTCTCAGAAATGTGTTCTGTTACAAAAGTTGCAAGTCATTGTTTATTAGTGTTCAAAGTTATTACCTGATCATACAAACATACATACATACTTTCTGATCATACATATTTACGGATTTTAGTTACTTACTAGTCAGAGATACTTACTGTTCAGAGTTACTTAGTTTCTTAATGCTCATAATTATTTACTGATCATAGTTAGTTAATGTTCATTGATACTTACTGATCATAGTTACTGGTCATAGATACTTACTGATGATTAACTACTGATCAAAGTTAAACTTTATATGGTCGGAGATGAATGCTTCACTGCGTTGCTGTAATAATATTCTAACGAATATTAATTTTTCTCTGTGGAAATGTTGGAAAATGATGGCTTGGCTCTACTGACAGACAACGTGCGCGGCGTGGAGTCGATTCGAGTGAAATTTCCCAGCGGACTTCCCTTCGACGAGCGTTGAGAGCTCCGGCGAAGGCTAATTAAAAAGAAGGAAGGAGCGAAGGAGCTGAGCTAACGAGTTATTTCCGCTTTGGCTTTCAGCGATTCTGCAGCTGATGCGTTTCCCCTTCCGTTTCATTCCATTTCGCCTGGTTCCGTTTCATTCCGCCCCGTTCCGTTTCGTTCCGTGATTGCACTTTGCATGTTTTCCGCGACATTCGATTTGGCGTTGATTGGCAGCCCACAATCAATGGCAAGTTGATTATTCCATTCCGTTTGGTTATTCTCTCATTTTCCTTGGACAATTTTCCCGCCTTCCGTTTTCCGCTTTTCCCGGACCGATCCGATCACTTTTAATCCGCGGCAAAATAGCTGGAAGTAATTCAATAATTCATTCAATTGTGTTCGAATTGTGCATTGTGCGTTGTAGTGCTGTAGTACGATTTGTAATCTAAAATAAATACATTTGCAGCGACAGCAATGTAAATAAATTAAGTCATTCGGGAGCTATGTAAAAAAGAAATACTACACAGGCATTTAAATTATATTTAATTCGAGTTCACAGCTTAGGCTTAATTTATTTATATAGGTGGACGATAAAAAATGGCAGCTTAATTGGATTTATGTCAATTCCAAATGCACTTTAATTGCTTTTTGCCGCCTCAATTGAGCGTTTTGGCACATATTTTGCGATTATTGGTTTAAATTTGAGCTGCTAATCCGATTTAGTAATTCTCCCCCATTTTCCCCGCACTTTCCAGCCACATTTTCCGACTTGGATAACCCACTTAGGGGGCATTAGGCATGTAGAACATGCTGCCAACGGCGAGAAATACGCCAATGAATGGGTTTTCTTGCCTTTTCTTATTTTTTTTTTCTGCTTGGAGACAACCCCTAACCTCTGACCCCTGAGCCCATACTTCTTCTTGGACTTATGTGGGTCAATGTGACCATGACGAGAAAAGTGGAAAGTGGAAAATAGGAAAATAGCAAACAGAGAAACAAATATATGGCAAAAGTTTGGTCGAGTTTTTCGAATTGGGAATGCGCAAAATAAAACCATTAAAAAGGGGGCCAGCATAAACATGACATAAACATGCGGAATGCCCGGTTATTAGATGTCTTTCTCTCCTGAGATCATAATGGTCACAAAAGTTGCCATTTTGCTGGTAGATTAGAGTTCAGAGATAAGATCTTGGCAGCCATCACAGAACTCATCATCAAAGTGATTATAAAGGGGATTATAAAGCAGTCGTAAGCCATTCAAAATGTGCGGGTGACAAAGAATAAATTTCAAAACTACAGCAATTTTCAGTTGCTTTAAGTTTCATTTGAGCTTATGGATAATTTTATAAAGGGAGTAACTCAATTGTTTTGTTTTAAATAAATTTATAATAATAGCTCTTTCATTTAAAGCCAACAGAGAATTTGTTACAACAAAGTAGTTTCCTTTTCTGAATCCCCAAAAATCTATTGTCTCTCCTATCATCTCCCTTGAGTTTCCATTCCCTAAAAACCGGACAATTAAATTAGCTGAATCATGTATTTTATCAATAATTCAGACAATCAGAGAAATATACACAATCTCTCTTTCTCTCTTTGGTCGAATCCCCAGGAAACACAAATCAAATAAGGAACGTTCTCGGAATAACTAAAAAGATTCCATAACCGATTTCAATATTGGGAGGCTGCTGGGCTGACAAATAAACAAAACAGTTGTTTGCCTGGGCAAACCTTTTAGCAAATCGAAAATCGAAATCAAAATGGAAATCCGAATGGAAATCGCACACAAAAAAATGTGAAAGTTTGCCCCTTTTGTTTGATTCCCAAAGCGGAAGCAAAGTTTGGCCATTAGGCAGTGGAAAACTGGCTCAAAAGTTGGTCCAAATCAAGCCTTGATTGTCCTAATTTAGTCTCAGAAGAAAAAGAAAAGAACTTTACAATTGCACTTTAATTTGCTGCAGCAAAAGAGACAGAGACAACGGAAATGGAAAATAAGGAAGCCTTTTAGATTTTTTCATACTTTTTATACCCTTTTTGTGTATTCTAAGTTTAGTCAGAAGCTTGTAAAACAGTGAAGGAGACATTTCCGACCCTATAAATCATATATATTCTTGATCAGCATCAACAGGCAAATCTTTTAAGCCATCTCCGGCCGAAAAAAAATTTTTCCGAAATTTTCCATTTTTGTAACCAAAGGAAAGGGGTTACATCATGAAAATTTGCAAAAATCGGACAAAAATTTACATTTTAACGGAGTATGCAGTTTTGTTAACCTGCTAAAAATTAACATACTGCCGCTTTCCAAATTGAAATTAATGCGTTTTTGGTTTAGTTATGAAATTTTTAAGTTTTGTTTCGTCGAAAAATTTCATATAAAATATTGTTAATTTCGGTTAAAAAATGGTAATGGCCCTTCAGTCAGAAGCTTAAAAGAAAGTGAAGGAATCATTTCCGACCCTATAAATCATATATATTCTTGATCAGCATCATTAGGCGAATCTTTTAAGCCATCTTCGGCCAAAAAAATTTTTTTCAGAAATTTCTCTTTTTTTTTACAAAATAGAAAAGGGTTACATGGTTAAAATTGTCAAAAATTTTAAAAATTTGAAATTCTAAAGTGGGTATGCAGATTTGTTAACCTACTAAAAACTAGCATAGGACAGCTTCCCGAATTGAAATTAATGCATTTTTGACTAAGTTATGAGACTTTTAGATTTTGATTTGTCGAAAAAATTTAAATATACAAATATTTGTAAATATCGAATATTAAGAGCTTAGTTATGCTCAATTATGATCTTATAATTTAATAGATAACTTTCCCTTTTTACTAGAACTATTTATCTTTATATATTTTGAACTCTTCTCTCTTCTGAGACACATGGCGTATACTTATTTTCAGGGTTTTCACGTTACGTATACGCCATGTATGCTAGATTTTTCTTAAATCGAAGACTTTTTTATACCCTTTATGGAGATTATTAATTTATTAAGAAGCTTGTAACAATATGAAGGAGTCATTTCCGCCCCATAAGTTAAATATAATCTTGGTCAGCATTAATAGGTGAATCTTTTAAGACATGTAAAAAAAAATCGAAATTTTGTCCATTGCACATGTACATTTTATTATGAGTATGTAGATTTATTAACCTATTAAAAACTAATATATGACTGCTTTCAGAATTAAAACGAATGCCTTTTTGGCTTAGTTATAGGTTTTTTAAATATGAATATTATATAATATATATAATATTAAAATAAAAAGCAAATTTGCATTTTACACAAAATTCTATATTAATATGTAATGGCTATATATAAAATTTGATGAAAATCTGGTAAAAACTGGAAAAGTTATAATTAGTTTTTCTTTAAATTTTCCGATTGTTCCTATGGCAGTTATGTATATATGTATATATATAGTCCACCGATTCGCCATGCTCCGAACTATATACTAGTCAAATTATATAGAAGAATAACTCCATAGTTTCACTCAAAAAGCCTAAAATTGTTCCAAAACAAATCTCTCGCATCTGTGCTTATAATTCCCAACTCGTTCTAACATCCCCGGAACGAAGTGACTGCTGCCGGCCGAGTTTCAGAAATGTGTTCTGTTACAAAAGTTGCAAGTCATTGTTTATTAGTGTTCAAAGTTAGTAAGTGATCATACATACATACTTAATGGTCATGGATACTTACTGATCATAGTTACTTACTAGTCATAGATACTTACTGATTATAGTTACTTACTGGTCATAGATACTCACTGTTCAGAGTTACTTATTGCTCATAGTTAATTAATGTTAATAAATTCTTAGAGTTTCTTATTGATCATAGTTCTATAAATCGTCCGATTGTTCCTATGGCAGCATATATATGTATATATATAGTCCACCGATTCGCCATGCTCCAACTTAAATACTAGTATAATTTTATTGAAGAATAACTCCATAGTTTTATTTAAGCAGCTTGCTGTTAAATTTCTTCCGAAACAAATCTCGCACATGTTTATGATTCTCAACTGGTTCAAACATCCCCGGAACGAAGTGAGTGCTGCCGGCCGAGTCTTAGAAATGTGTTGTGTTACAAAAGTTGCAAGTCATTTTTTATTAGTGTTCAAAGTTAGTAACTGATCATACATACTTACTGGTCATAGATATTTACTGAGCATACTTTCCTTATGTTCATTGATGCTTACTGTTCAGAGTTACTTACTGCTCATACTTATTTACTGATCATAGTTAATTACTGGTCATATACTTTGACTCCTTCACTGCGTTTTAAAGTTCTGAATGAAATTATAATATAAAAAGGGAATTAAAATACTCAAAGGGTATATTTATGCACATAAGTATGGCTCACTCGATGTCTATTTTGTTTTAGTGCTATAATATTAATGTTCTATAATTTTTTCTCCTTACAGCAACGCAACCTCAGCCATGCCGGACTGGCCAGCCTCTCCTGCTAACTGAGAGTCCAGGTTGCTCCTGGGAAAACTTACAGAAAGGTTTTCCCCTCTCTCGCTCTCTGAACGATGGACAACCTTTCGGTTTCGGCCGCTGTGGCTGGTTTTGCCTCCGATTCAGGCGGCTCCAGCTCCAATCCCAATCCCAACTCCAATGCGAACCCAAACTCTGGCTATCCGCATGACATATCCGCCACGGAGGTGCTGTACCAGTGGAGTGCCAATGCCGTGTCCGCCTCTGTTGCATCCGCAGCCTCGGCTGCCTCCCGCCTCGCCGCCGCCCCCTCAGCCAGCCTGCCGCCGGATATCGCCGTGGGTGGTGATCCTCCGGGCATCCTGCACCTGCTGCATCCCACTGAGGTGGCCGCCAACGAGTCCGGTCGCTTCAACCTGCTCGACTACGGCATGGGCATCAATGTGAACATGAATCTGAACTCCAGCGAGGGCTATGACGACTATAGCAACTACCAGCAGTCCATGGGGATGGCCGGCGGAGGAGGATGCCGGCAGATGGAGGGGAACATGAGCTACTGGAACCTCACCTGCGATTCCCCGCTGGACTATGCCCTGCCGCTGTACGGCTACTGTATGCCCTTCCTCATGATCATCACCATTATCTCGAACACGCTGATCGTGCTGGTGCTGAGCAAGAAGAGCATGGCCACGCCCACCAACTTTGTGCTAATGGGTGAGTACTCTCTTCTTTATAAGCTTCAAATAAAAGGGAAGGAATCGTTGCAAGTGTTGCAGGCTTCGTGCCACATGCAACTCCCACGACTACCAAATAATCCGGAATGATTCAAGGACAGACACGAAACACAGCCATTTCCTTGACATTCACTGGCACAGTTTTCCCCCATTCAGACGCCGCCTTTATGATTATTATTTATTTTTATTCGGAGGCCTCGGCACGTCGCCCCCTTTTTCTTTTTGGTGCTTAATGTGGCACACAAACAATGTTAAATCAGGCAGAAGTTTTGCGAGATTTCAAAATAGCTCCCTTTACAGATACACACAGGCATTTATATACACCCAAGTATATATACAATGTATATAGTATCTCCGATCCCTTGATGGCCCTGTAACCTTGCGTAATGCTGAGATATTCTAATAGCCTGTGTAATGCTAATGGCAAAGTCTGAGAGGCGCAGGGTACTTGGTTTTTTTGCCGCTGATTTATGAAAAATCCATTGAGAGGAGGAGGAAGTAAGTCCCTTGGAAACATTCGATATAAATCCCTGGCAAGCTTCAACTTTAAATTATTTCACTGTCAATGGGTTAAGTGCCGCACATACACCCCTGAGGACGACCTCAGAAACCCCCTGCCCAGAAACGGGTGTCAAGCGCAGGCCAAGGCTAATCGCAAATCGGAGCAAATGACAGAGGACACGGGGATCCGGGGATCCGGGGACACGGGGACACGGGACATTGGGGATTCCTGCAGCAGGCAACCGCAACAGGGTCAGAAGCGGCAGAAAATGGCCAAAACCGCTCGAGAGCAGAGCGAATTAGGCACTGCAAGAAATAAATGGGTGAGCAAATAAGTCAGCTATCTGAATTTTCCACCTTAAAGAGAGATTTTTACCCATACAATATGATTTTCAGGAAATATGTCTGATTTCCCAAGAGGTTTCTATAACTTTTCCCATGGAACCTATAACTTTTACTCTTAAATTTGAGTTTATATTTTGTCGCTGTGTAAAACCCAGCAAAATGTGCAGACAGGAGGACTGTTCGTCCAATGAGTGCACAAAGGTCAGGTCATCGGGGTGTGTAGTCAGTCACTTAAACACATTCGCTGGGTTCAAATGTCACTGGGCCACAGGCAGAAACAGAAACGGCAAAGGACACCACAGGAACGAAACAGAAGTCGATTAGTGGCTAAAAGGCTAAGGGACAAAACGTGAGAGAGGAGAGGCTTACCGACTTTTCAGATCCTGAAATCACATTTGACCATGGCAAAGAACAACAAAAGAGCACCTCCTCCTCAATGGATTGTAATAACTAATAATCCTTCACAATGCTCAAATATTAATCCCTGGTCAAAGGTTATCCATCATCAACACAACAGCTTACCTAATTTGGCAACAGCAAAAGCCTGAATAATTGATCAGCGAATTCGATTATAAGGCCCGGTATCGTTTTACACACAAACAGTGGCATCCGAATCCGGTGGTGTCCAATCACACAATCAATTTGCATTGAAAATCGCTGAAAATCGCATCATTTGCATTAAACATTACCATAATTTCCCATTTCATTTGTCCGCATCTACCTCTCCCTCTCACTCACACTATCACTCTCTCTTTCTCTCTCTCTGTTTATTTGCAGGCATGGCTATATGCGATATGCTGACGGTTATATTTCCGGCCCCCGGCCTCTGGTACATGTACACATTCGGCAATCACTATAAGCCCCTGCATCCGGTCTCCATGTGTCTGGCCTACAGTATTTTCAATGAGGTAAGTCAACACAAAGGATGTTTTACACTGGCAGAAAATACTTGAAGAACGCAGAGAAGTCTTTAAAAGCGAGCGAGTAGCATAAAAGATGATAACCATCGCTGTGTACTTCGCTTAAACTGAAAATATTTCACTGGAACTTTGAAAATATTAATGAAAAGTCTTAGATTTCAAATAATTATTGTCTTTGAAGAGTAAGTTTAAGCTTGAAAGACAGAAATGCCTTGGCTGATACCCAAAGGGCATTCGACAAGTGAAGAATTTGAGTCAAACAACATTTTAAATACTTTTAAGAAATCGAAATAATTATTTATAAATTTCTTTTCCAAGGGTTTTCCAAAATAATTTACTGAATTCAGCAAAACTTTCTTTTGGGTAATTTCATTTATGTTGCCAACGTTGAGGGTCTTGCCACTCTGCCTCTCTGTGTGTGTGTGTGTGCTTTCTTGCCACAAACTAATTGCCAAGGCTGGCCAAGGCAGTGGGAGGGCCGGCAAACTGTTTATTTTGGCTTCTGGCCACGTTTCCAGCCACGTTTTCATTTCCAAGCAACTTTCCTGCGACCCCACACCCCGCCCCAGAATAAAAAAGACACAGTACGCTCATTGACCTAAATAAAATGCTTGGCTGGAATCGGGGAAAAGCGGAGGAAAGCGGGGAAAACTCCCCATCTTTCTTTGCCTTTGTCTCCCACGTCTGATGTATGATGCTTTGTTTTGGCTCCCGTCGCGTTATCGTTATCGTTATCGCATTTGATGCCACGTTACACTCGCGCTCTCTCAGCACTCAGCTCCTGCCCGTTTTCCCAGATTTTCCCATTGCGAGTGTCATTTCTGTCAGCATAATGGAAGAATGGCAGTGCCACTTGCCACTTGCCACCTGCTCCGGCTTCGCCCCCATTCATTCAGCCATTCACAACACTTATTCATTCGAGAGCGTTTTTCCACCATTACCATGCAAACTCCAGGCAGCTTTTCCCCGCTTTTCCCCCCAACCACCGACCCTCGGCACGTTTGCCTTGATTAATCAACATTTTCAATTTATGGCACTCGAAGGGCGCAGATTTTGGGGGTGGCTAGAGCAAAACTGTTTACTCACTTCAACGGAGTAGTGTCAAGCCGATAAAGCTGCTGAGGCATAGTGGGTTCCTCGACCCATTTTCACACCATTTTCCATTAGGAATTAGTTTCGAAGAAGAGAAATACCTACTGAAACTGAAAATGAACCCAAGTGGAAAATGAGCAGTAAAAGTTGCTGAAACTAGTAACTGAAGCATCCTTTAAGGTCATCATTTATAGCATAGTTCGTCCCTTAAAAATATCTCCTCTCATTTTCCAGCCACAATTTTACTATTTCCCTAGACTCTCCCCGGATTTCCCTGCCAACTCGACCCACTGTGCCTCCTGGTTCTGCCTGCCATTTGCTACGTGCTGTTAGTGGACTCTCTGGGGATTTGTACCAGCTAAATTCCATGCTGGGCCCAGGGTCTGGAGGATGGGAGGATGGATTCTGGAACTGGGAATGGAGTGGAGCTGGGGGTATTAGGATGTGGGGTCCTTTGACTATCTCTGCGTATGACTGCCATAAAATTCAACTCACATCCTTTGGCAGAGCGGCGTTTCGGTAATAACCGCCAGGCGGCCATTGCAGCAGCCTCAAAGTTGAAGATTTCCAACGTTTCATTTTCGTCGGAGCTGGAATTTATATATATGCGCTGGCAGCACGTTCCTGCCCCGACTTGGGCCGACTTACTACAGCGCATAATGGCCATGTTAATGTAACCGGGGGGCGGGGTCTTAACCATTTCATTGTAAAGTATCCCAGCATGCAGTGGCCGTATCCTGGCCGTGTCCTGGCCGTGTCCATGTGCCGTGTAATTGCAGCAGCAGCGCAGACACATAAACCGGATTAGGCCACAGATTGTGCATGGCCCGAGCCCGTTGTCAAACACACACCACACCTTCACCCCCAGCTCCAGTTCCAGCTACTGTGCACATTCCGTCCGGAGTGGCTCCGCCTGTCTGCCACAGGAGCCGCACTCATTACGGTCCATAAATGGAGCCGACACCTGGCCGGAGGAGCCGACAAATGGGGCAACCAGCAGGGCAAGAAAAATCTAGCTTCTTTATCTGGGGAAAAAATATAATTAAATATTTAAATATACACATATTTAATTGCGGTCGTTACAAGTTTTAAAGATTCTCTACATAATGATTTAATTTTGACTTAATTTCAACCTCTTTTTCTGTCTGTGTAAGCCCTGCCAGCTGCCAGACTCACGATTTCGGAGGTAATGCAGTTAAAGACCACAAATCTGATTTGGCAGACAGGTTAAGGAATGACTTCTCAGGGCCTTTGAGTAGGGATAAAAATATAAAATATATACGTATATACATATATACATTTTATGTTATATATATATTTATATACCTTACCTGGTCTTTGCTCTATTCAATATACAATCTCCAAGATATATCGCATTTAATTTGCGGAATTCAGCAGGGAAATGCTGGCTCAGAAATCATTTGTGGAAGTGCTTGGCCATAGAAACTTGAAGAAGCTTAAATAAAATTAAATTCTTAATAAAACATGATGACTCGGAAAGGAAGCCGCTTAGAAATAAAGAAAAGGAAATAAAATTAAGTACGGAAAGTCGAAGTTTAAAGACCCTTGCAGTTTGTAATTGCATTATGAAATCAAATCAAAAATCTATCATTAATAAGCTAAAAATATTAGCATTCTTTGAATTAATATTTAACGATAATTTTATATGAAAATTTTTCCGATAATCGGAATTTAAAAAACTCACAACTCAGTGAAAAAGTCATTAATTTCAATTCGGTAAACTGTTATATGTTAGTTTTTATCAGGTTAACAAATGTATATACTCAATTTGAAATGTAAAAAAAATTAAAATTTCTATAAATTTGTGACAAATTTAACCCCTTATAAAATTTCGAAAAAATTTACAAAAAATGTTTTTCTTTGCGACATACCTAGAAAGATTTGCCTTTTAATGCTGATCAAGAATATGTATGATTTATAGGGTCGGAAATGACTTCTTTACTGCGTTTCAAGCTTCTGACTGGAAGTACAATCCCTAGAAAGTGTATAAAAATAGTTTTCGATTTAGGATAAATATAGCATACGTGGCGTATACGTAACGTGAAAACCCTTAAATTAAGTATACGCCATGAGTGTCTGAAGGGAGAATAGTTGAAAAATTTATAAGTATTAGTAGTTCCAGTTAAAAAGCAAATAAAATTATAAGATCAAACGGAAATCAATCTTAACTAAGCTTCAAATATTCGATATTTTTAAATATTTGTATATTACAAATTTTTCGACAAACAAAGTTAAAAAATTTCATAACTAAGCCACTAACGTATTAATTTCAATTCGGAAAGCGGCAGTATGTTAATTTTTAGCAGGTTAACAAAACTGCATACTCCATTTAAAATGTGAATTTTTGGCCGATTTTTGCAAATTTTCCTTTTTTTACAAAAATGGGAAAGTTCGGAAAAAAAAATTGTTTCGGCCGGATATGGCTTAAAAGATTCGCCTGTTGATGCTGATCAAGAATATATATGATTTATAGGGTCGCAAATGACTCCTTCACTTTCTTTTAAGCTTCGGACTAAAATTCAAATACCCTGTAAAGGGTATAAAAAACAGAAAAGAAGCTGCTTTCAGGAAAGCTAAAGGTTTTACTCCCTTCCCATTTTCCAATAAACTCAAGCTTTAAATTCAATAAAATAGATTGTAATTGATGTTTTGATTTTAGTCTTTGGTATTTGCGTATTTTAGCTTTTTGCAAGCTAACCATTGTCCAGCTTGAAATTGATTAATATTTGCTTCGACCACAATTCTAATTTCTAATATAAGTTTACAATATTTTCCAAGACTTTGATGCCTTACTGTGCGGCTTACCAACTCGATGTGCATAGAAAGTAAGCTTCGGCATTTTCACTTGTTTTACAGACCAGAAAGTGTGCCAAAAGTCACACACAGCAATGATTGCTTCTGGTTACTGGTACTGGTTAATCCCAAAGACAAACCCACATTTCCACCTTGAATATATAGTATATATTTGACTAACGATTCGGTTCTTTTGCTTGCAGATTATGCCAGCCATGTGCCACACCATCTCCGTTTGGCTAACTCTGGCCCTCGCCGTGCAAAGGTAAATATGCAATTAGGCCAATAAAAGTGAGCCCGGCTCACACGCCCATCTTTGGTTGCCTTGGTTACCTTGTCCTCATTGAGATGTAACTGAATGGAGTGACTGCCAGACTGACAGACTGACAAAATGCCAGACTGACTGACTGACTGACTGACTTCCCTCGACTGACTCGTTGACTTGTCAATGGTGGCAATAAATCAGTTTTTGTGGTAAAAATAAAATGTCAATGCCTTCTCTCGCCATGCCCGTGAGGCAGGGAAATTGAGGTGCGACAGAGAAAGAGAACGAAAAAGAGAGAGATAGAGGAGGGAACAAACAAATGGGCTCACCTTCGCACAGTCAACGCTGCGTATGAGTGATGCGAGAGTTACTCCTTCGCTGACAATCAATCGATGGAAAAGACATCTGAGAAGAGCATTGCTCCGAGGGGAACTCAACTCGCTCTTTAAAATCAAATTGGCCCGCCACTAAAGCCATAAATAAAGCCCACTAATGCACAGACAGCCTGTAAATATTTTATGGAACAAAGGGAAGAAAACAATAAACTAATTTCAAATAGGCAACATAAATTTCATGCCAGGCAGAGGCCTCTTCAGGAAAAGGGAGAAAGACTTGAAGCCACTTGAAAATCGGTTTGGCCAACGCATTGTTCTATTAACTCATGTGTGGGATCATAAATTTTACAGCTTTGCAAATAAATTTCCACCGAGTGGTGCTGGAGGCGCAACAAAAACAACAGAAAAATACAAGGAATTTTCTACGAGAATAGTCATAAATATTTGCGCCATTATGCGACTTTGGGTTCGCTTTCAAGTGGTCGCTGGTACTGGAGAGGGGTGCTGTTTTTTCTTTTTTTTTCCAGGGGGATGCTGCACCACCAAATAGCTAAATAATGTATATATGTAGGAGAAGAAAGGGGAAAGGGTCCTGTTCCTCCGGACAGGACCAGGCTCTCTCTCTCTCTCTCTGTAAAATGCGTTGAAAATTGCCCGAGGACAAATAGCGCGATAAAAACATTCAGCGTTTATTGTTATTATTTTGTTGTTGCTACCGCCTGCCGCCTGCCGCTGCTGTTGTCAACTTATTGTATTTCAAGTGTTTTTATGGCCCCTCGTGTTGGGCGGGGAGAGGGGGTAGTGGCCAGGGGGAAGTGGGTCGCATAATGCCCTGAATGAACTGCCTGAGTGAGTGACGACGAAGCCTCTCCATAAAAATTTCATAATACAAAAAGTATTATAAACCAAGTCAGCATGAATATATATATATATATTTATATATAGGTAGAGCGGCTTCTCCTGGGAGCATTGGCACACTTTTAAAGTGGCTCTAAAACCCATTCGGGGCCACTAAAAATATTTAATGTCTTCCTTATGAGTTTTGTGATTGAAATTAGTTTAGGATTGGAGGCACTTATACTTATAATTGGGTTAACCCGATAAGGGAGGGTATTATAGATGGAAATCTATATAAGAAATTAATTTTAGCTAAAGATATATTCAATTACTTTATAAATATTTGACAGAAATATATGTTTTAAGCTCTAAACTAATGGTTTTCTGCAAAGAAGTACTCTTAAGAAATCCCTCAGTGGGCATTCCTCTAAAAGGACCTCAAGGGTTGGTATTTAAGTTCAGAGATCCTTATCATTTACATAACTTGTTCATCTATAAAGTAGAGCCTGTTAAGAGACCCAAGAGAGATGATAACCCTCGACAGAAGAATCTCTGCTTGATTGATTTATTCTGTCGTTTATTTCCCTGCCCAGAAGGGTTGAGGCTTAAGGGTGGCATTTGCAGGGGATTCCCCTTTTTTATTTTGGAGAGACAGAAAAGATATCCTTTTAGGACAAATTAACTAAATTGTTAAAATGACAATGAAAGTGAGAGGGCTGAAAAAGGGATGGCGAAACATAAGCTTAGCCAAATGTTATTCATTTATTAATATCAATTCCATTTAAGGCCTAAACGGCTGGCAATCGTTGTTCGTCCTTGGTCCTTGGTCCTTGCTCTTGCTGTTTTAGCGTTAATGCCGTTGCTGTTGCCTTCAACTTTAATGAAATCCCCGCTTGACAAAGGTTCAATGAAAGATTGATTGAAAAACATTTTCAAGTGCCAGGACGGCAGTGGGCGTGGCCATAATTATGCGCATAAATTAGGCCATCAGGCGGCGGTCCTTGAGGGCGGCAGCATCAAAGGTCGTCGTTCGCCTCGATGGCCCGATGGCAGATATTCTCCCCTCTTATTTATTTATTTATTTATTTTGTGTGTTGTTGTTTTTTTGCTGGCCAACTATAAGTCGCCGGGAAAGTTTTGTCTCCTCCCCGCCGGCCGGCACAGGAAGCGAACGGAATTATTATTAGGAGCAGGAGGAGGAGCAGGAGGACCCCTGACAAATTACACAAATTATGAAATTATAAAGCGCCAACTTGATTAGCTTTTTTGGCCTTTGATTGCCGGGGCTACATCCTCCTTTGCTGAATCCTGGCAGAATCGGGAAGAGAAGGGGGACTTCAAATTAGGATTTGCCAAATTCGTTGTCACCACATTGCGATCGTAAATTCTCACCTGGGGAAATTGGTTTATCTCCATCCAGACTCTGGCCATAAAATAAAATTATATTGGGCCAAGGCGCTTAGGCTCGTTACCAGTCCGTGGGGGTAGGGGTATAGGTAGGGGGCTTAAGGTCCTGTGACAGGAGCTCTGGGGTGGCTTTGGCTTTGAATAAAAACCCATTACAGATAAAGTCCATTTTGGGGCTTAATGTGAATGGGTATATCCTATGTGTGTGATTTTCCTTTGAAATGAAATAAAACGTAAATGTATTCGCAGGTACATCTACGTGTGCCACGCCCCCATGGCCAGGACGTGGTGCACAATGCCGCGGGTGAAGCGCTGCACCGCCTACATCGCCCTGCTGGCCTTCCTGCACCAGTTGCCGCGGTTCTTCGACCGCACCTACATCCCCATGGAGATCGAGTGGAACGGCGAGGAGACGGAGGTGTGCCACCTGGAGACGTCGCTGTGGGTGCACGAGTACATTGGCGTGGACCTGTACTACACCAGCTACTACCTGTTCCGCGTGCTGTTCGTCCACCTGCTGCCGTGCATCATTTTGGTGACCCTGAACATCCTGCTGTTCGCGGCCATGAGGCAGGCGCAGGAGCGGCGCAAGCTGCTCTTCCGGGAGAACCGGAAGAAGGAGTGCAAGAAGCTGAGGGAGTCCAACTGCACCACCCTGATGCTGATCGTGGTCGTGTCGGTGTTCCTGCTGGCCGAGATACCCATTGCCGTGGTCACCGTGATGCACATTGTGAGCTCCCTGATTATCGAGTTCCTGGACTACGGCTTGGCCAACATCTGCATCCTGCTGACGAACTTCTTCCTGGTGGTCAGCTATCCGATCAACTTTGGCATCTACTGCGGCATGTCGCGCCAGTTCCGCGAGACCTTCAAGGAGATCTTCCTCGGCCGGCTGGTGGCCAAGAAGGACAGCTCCGCCAAGTACTCGATTGTGAACGGTGCCCGCACCTGCACCAACACCAACGAGACGGTCCTCTAGTAATTGGTGCTGTTGGTGCCGCGGCGTGGCAGCAGCGACCACCGGCGCACCACCTGCACCACCACCACTGTCGCCACCGGCTGTGGTGGTGGTGCCCTCACCATTGCCACCAGTGGTGGAGGCGGCGGGCCGCAGCACCAGCAGCGACGAGTTAGCACCATGGACATCATCGCCGAGGAGAGGAATGTCTAAGTCTCACAGGTCATATAGGTCTCCCAGCCCCCTTTTCAATTCCCCAAAGGATCTGGTGGATGATGAGCATCAGACCTTGAAGGGGACTTCGGAAACCCGGGCTGAGCCACAAGGTTTCAAGAGGGTTTAGCCTCCTTGGACAGAGTCAGAGAGAGCCAGCTTCAGGTTGGTCTTAGAGAAGATAATAATAATAATAATAAGACACTCGGTCTGATTTCTCGAATCAATGTTCAGCTTGGCACTTTCCCACAACCACTTGGGAAAGCCGGGAAGGCTGGATAATACCAATAGGGAAATCCATATACACGAAACACGAAAGTTCCAACTGCGTATCTACGTGTGTTTTTGTTGTGTGTTGATGTCTTCATATTCAATTATATTCCCGATAAATGTCGAGTCTAAGCTAATAAATGTTCTTATCTCCGGGAAAGCGGGAAAAGTGATGGAAAAGCGCGTGAAACAATAAAGAGAACCCCCTACGATAGCGGCTAGGCTAAGTCCCCGAATACTTACAGGAAACTCAAGAGTTATCAGAGGAGAGGGAATCCAAGTAGTCCCCAAAGCTAGACCTAAGCATAAACTAACTATCGATTTGTAAAATATTTTTGGAGTTTGTTTAAGTGTAGCTAGACCTAGGAGCGAGCATTTAAATTCGTAAACCTTTCGAGCCCCAGCGTTTACCGATTTAAATGTGTGAATTAAAACAATATAATAAAATATATATACAATACTTACATATATGTCATAACGAATTTCAAGTTGATGTCGAGACTTGCCCAGAGTTCTCTCACCTTTTTTTTACTAGCCTAAGGAACAGAGTAATTAAAAACACAACATTAATTGGGATTCAATGTCTACACACTAAGATACGATTACCATTGCAGTTTCCAGTTAAAAATGTTCTAAGTGTAAAGCGACTAAAGCGACTAAAGCTACACTTTAGCCGATCATAAACTAATGCAAATCTACAACAATTACTATAACTAAGAGTTGTCTGTCTGAATGGAATGTGTTAACTATTTATACATACGTATATACTTATCTGACGACAGCGGCTGCGTTCGGTTTCCGTTTTGATTTTGTACATAGTTCGACGGTGCATCCCCAGTTGCGAATAAATAAATAAACTAATTAAATGTCACACGGCCTGCCCTCAATTGCGTTTTCTGTTTTCCATTTCAGATAGCAAACTAAATAATCAGCTAAGCGTATGAGCTGGCTTTTCTCAGTAAGTGAGTGAGAAAGGGGACTCCCTCGAAAATGGGATAGTAAAAGACTAAACTTGTATCTTTCTTTGATTATAAGACTCTTTTGGGAATTTATTTAGTGTCATATTTAATATCGGTTCAAAGAGAGAGAATTCAATTGCAATCTACTTCGTCAACCCAAAAATACTCTTCATTTTTGTTTTTAAATATCATTTTTATTTACCACAAGTTTATCAAATGGAATTATTTTTACAAAGGAAACCAAGGCTAATACAGGCGACACTGAGTCCTTTGGCGGTACCTCTTTTCAAACCAGCTTTTGGAGCAGTTGAAGGCCTGTTGGAAGGGCTCAAAGTTGGCCACCGCATCGTTGACCCTTCTGCGGTCGGTGCCATGATCATCGTTATCCTGCGAGCTATCCTCATCCGAGCAGAAGAACTGGGCAAAGTTAAGGAAAAAGTGCTGCTGTCTCAGTGTCGACGTCTGTCCCGGTTCGATAGAGTTCTCATCCCACCGGCGATCCCCCTCGGCGGCATCGAAGTACGCCGAGTAGGCCAGGTCCAGGCCATTGGCGTCCGCGAACTTCTCCTCCAGCTGCTCGGCGCCGAAGCGGAACCGCAGGCAGGTGGCTTCATCCCGGAAGCGCCTGTTCCTCAGCACCTCCAGGCCAATGCCTATTTGCGCCCTGCCCCGAGAGTCTATCCGGACGGCGTCCGGGGTGAAGCCGTGCGAGAGCTCGTGCCCCAGGATGAAGCCCAGCGAGCTGTAGGAGAGCAGCTCCGACTGGCCGGGTGAGTACAGCGGTGGCCCCAGCAGCGACAGAGGCACCACCAGCGTGTTGGTGGACAGCATGTAGAAGGGTGAGCCGAAGCTGCCGAAGCCATGCACCTCGACGGGCAGCGGTTGTCCCCGCTTCGTCTGCACCTTGCCCAGCCAGGGGAGCAACAGCCGGAGAAGGCTGTGCAGCTGCTGCTCCGTGGAGTGTTTCAGGGTGGCCAGGAGGTTGCCATAGTAATCGCTGGCGTTCAGCTGCAAATCATGGTAATGTCGCTCGATCCGTCGCTCCAGGGAGTGGTCCGATTTCTGCCTTGGCAGGATACTCAGACGCAGGGTCATGTGCTCCAACTTCGAGAGCAGGAACTTTAGGCTCTTCCGTCCAAAAGCATTCCTGTTAGCCCGCAGCTTCTGGCCAAATCGGTGCTTCAAGGTCTGGAAGATGCCTTGCAGCATGGACTCCTCCGGCAGCCGGGGCTGATCCTTCTCCAGCAGCCAGACCGAGGGATGGCTCAACAGTTGGCGGCACTGCTCGGCGCACTCGCTGCGACTCACCTGCCAGGGCTTAGTGCCAGCAAATCCCTGTCCATCTTCTCCCCTGCTTCTGCGGCAAACCTCAGTCTGAGCAGGATGTAGGGAATCAGGAAGGCCGGCGGCTTCTGTATCAGCAACGCTGCCATATGCAGGATGTACCTGAGGCTAGGCGGGGATGTCCGCCAAGGCATCATCCAAAAGTCGGGAATGTGCTGGCTATCAACTAGGGACTCGTCGTCATCGGTTAACTCGTTCTCTTGATCCTCTTCGTCGTCCTCCTGCATCATGCGCCCTTCCAGCTGGCTCACTTCCCGCCAGAAGACCTCCTTGGAGAACCTTCCCGCTGCTGTCGTTGGGAGCCACAGCCGCTCAAACTGATGCCTTTGCAGGGGCTTCCTGTTCGTCTCATTGGAGTTCCAATCCGGGCCGGAGCGAAGGAGCAACTGCAGCCAGATGTTCTTCATCTTGTCGCCGCCCATCTCCACCAGGACCTTGAGGCGAAAGGCGGCGGTCAGGGCGACGGTTAGTTCGTTGTTGCCCAGTTTGGGATGCGTGACCAGCTGCTGCAGGAAGGTTAGCACCTGGGGCATGTCCAGGTTGCGGCGACAGGAGGCGTAAAAGTCAAAAGGAAGTTGCAGGAAACGAGACTCGTTGCCCGAGGTCCTTGGGAAGAAGAGAAAAGTGCTTTGAATAAATGGAAACGCCTGCAGTCTGAGCGGACTCACTGGGACTCTCCTTCCAGCAGATTGGCCAGCCGCTCCTGATAGTCATAGTCCAGCTGCTCCAGCAGACTCCTGTAGGGATCCTTCTCGTGGACAGTCGACCAGTTGCCACAGGCATAGGCATAAAAGTCGCGACAGGGATCGTTCTCTGGGGCCATGTGACGCGTCACATGATCGGGCAGACTGAAGTCCTTGCTGGCCTCGGCCTTGGCCTCCTCCGGAAGTCTGGTGAGGATCAGGAGGGGCAGCGCGATCCAGTGCAGGTCGAAACGCATGGCGAGAGACGCGCCGCTAAACTGAAGCTGACATCGTGTGGGAAATGTAGCTATAGTCCGGGGGTTATCTCTCCCAGATCGAAGTGGGCCCGGGAAAGCGAGTGTTATCTCAGGAGACGAATCAGATCGAGGCTGCGATTGCAACGACCTCTCTCTCTCTGTGGGAATATAATGTGCAAACAGAAATACAGTTAGTGGCATAGTTATTAATCTAAAAAATTAAAAAAAAAAAAACTAATACGTGTTGCGGAAAATATAATTTATTTTCCCAACTTTAAACTAATATATTATATCCCCTGGACTGCTTCCTCTTTTCCATTTTATGTGATTTCCCAAAGTTGAGAGCTGCAAAAAACACTTTGCATTTTGCATTTGGAAAACTGCAAAGTTTTCACACCGCACACATGGAAAATGAAACTTTTCCGGGGCGAGGGCATGAGGGGTGGCAGTAGCAAATAAGGTTGCGACACTTTTCCATTCATATTTAATGCACTTTGGCCAAAAGCGTTGCCCCCTCCCCTCCAAAGCCGACTCCCTGGCTGCTTGGGCCGGTTAAGTGCTCAAATATTTGGTGGAAAATCTGCCTCTGCCTCTGCCTCTGCCACTGCCACTGCACTTGAGAGTTTTCATCAAAGTCATGGGATTTTGGGTACGGTACCTTGATGAGACGGCAGCCATTTATAACGGATGCACACCTCCCACTCTTCCCAGAAATACTAATGTGTGTGTGTGAGGAATTTACAATTTTAAGCCTTTGCAGGGCCTTGGACCCAAAGTGTACGCATCGGAAAATGCCGCACAAGCCTCATTTATTTCACTCAAAATTGATTGACGCCTTCCCCGAAAAGGAAAAGAAACAAAATAAAAACACAAAAAACAACATATAGAGCCACTGATGGACAGGCATAATGCCAAAGAGGTGTCTCGGTGGAAAGGATATTATTTCTTACACAGAGAAAGCTATAGAATCCCTTGTGGGAAATCATGGTTAAGTAAAAAATGCTGTATTTAAACAAGAAACTATTATTTAAGGCTGTGTAAGTCTAGATGGTTTTAAAAATATTTAAAATGCTAATCTTTCGCTTCATTGAAATTGAAAAATTAAGGAGCAAAGAAGTAACACATTTTATTTTATATTATTTACATTCTAACAATTGCAATTTTCATCTCACTTTTCTTAATGTAGACACCAGTGCACCTTACCATAGTGCCCACTGTACCGTCTACGTGTGTGTATTGGACCGTACATCAACACGGAGACAATGAGAGGGCAGCAGATAATCAATCAGAGAGCTGCTTATTGGCTTTTCAAAATGCGTCTAACAAAATAAATAAAAGTCAAAGCGACAATGTGGCATGTTATGCCCCACATCAACCTCTGCTTTTGGCCAAAAACAACAACAACTCCAACAACAACAAGTCGAGTTCAATCCAATTCGGGCCCAAAACATGGAGGCCTGCGCTGCTGGTCCACTGGCCTGACCTAATGCCAATTTAATGCTGCGTGTGGCTTATGTCTGTCTATAGTCCTGGTTCTGGTTCTGATATCGTCCTCCCTTCCCCAAGGATAACCGCCCTCCCATATATATGTATATATATCCTGTTACTTCGTGCGTGTGTGTGCGATTGAGTAAGCTCTCCCTAATGCCTCTGTATCGTATCGATAGACATATATAATCAAAGGCAATTAGGTTTTTCAGCCAGGATGTTGCCTTTGCTCGCTAATTAATTTTCAATAGAATTTATGCACAGCCGCCAAAGGATATGGCTGTGCCGGCAACCAGCAACCAGCAGCAGCCGCAATAACACACATTGATTAGTTGGCTCACCGGAAGCGGAAATAGAAGGGAGCATTCGCTACTGTAAACTGGAAACTGAGCAGGGGAAATTAAGCAAAAGGGGAGACATTATCATTTAAATAGAGGTGAAGATTATCATAAGTTTTATAGTATTTTTTATATATTTTTCAATGCTTTAGTTAATATAAATTAAACTGGAGGAAGCAGCTCGACGCACACGCTAAGGGGAAATTAAAAAACACGGCATACTTTTGGGGATTTTAAAATGTATTTAGTCAAAAAATGAAGCATCTTTTAGGCGCAAGTCAACTGATAGCAGTTGGCGGTTGAATTAATATATATTCTTATTTCTGTTGTAATCTGTAAATAGTTTTTTGTTGTTAAATAGTTGTTGTTGTAATCAGCAAAAATCAAGCTTCAGTTTGTTAAATTTCAGGCCAAATTAATTCTTTTCTTGTCCTGAAGTACCAGGCGAACAGAACACGCAGAAAGCACATTAATTCTAGTGCAAATGCTGTTGGATCAAAGATGTCCTTTAGCTATATTGCATTTTAGAGACAAGAATATATAATGCACAATACATAACAACGATGGAGAATACCATACCTCTCAAGGACTGGGGATTCACTCATGCCGTAGTCCTGCCCTAGGACCTTTTCTGGGAGTGTTCGGTGAATATGCTATAATGGTGTCAAAATGGAAGTGAAAACTACCACAACTGTGGCAACTATTCACTTCAACTATAAATACCAGCCCAGTTATGCTAGTGATTTTCTTGGCAGTAAATTTCTGCAATAATCTCTCTGGGGTAACCCAAAAAAAGGCCCTTAAATTCCCATAACTTGGTGCTAAATCCAGGAATATCTTTTGCCAAAAAAATAAAAAAAACAAACCTGAAATGGCGGCAGGCTTTTAATTTAAATAAATGCGGCTTGTTAATGTTGCTGCCGCTACTGCTGCCACTTTTATTGAAGCGCCGGAGCCACGTTCATTTGTCAGCGGTTTGTCTGAGCATTTTTGGGTTTTCGGGTTTTATGTTTAATTGCGGACAAAATTTGCCATTTGCCATTTGCCAGTCGCTTCCAGGCAGTTCGTTTTAGTTTATGTTTATGTTGCCGCTCATTTTGTAATTTCCTAATTTCGTCGTTTCGTTATTTCCCCCTGAGGGCCAGGCGAAATGTTGGCAAATGGCCAAAGAAAGGGAGAGAGCCTCCTCTAAAAAATAACTCGAAATGCAACAATTTCTTTAATTAAATCGCTTTTAAAAATGTATCCGCCTAAAGCGATGCTACCTGGGCCCAGTCCCTAGTCAATTTTCCGCTTTTCCAATTTCGCAGCTGTTGATCGCGGCTATATGTACAAGGCGATAACTGCCGGTCATCTATCATCTTTAAATAATCCGGCCATGACAATCGACTATTCTGCGCCGAGTGTCAAGTAATGACTTTGCACATTGCCAGCCGAAAGCCAGATCCCAACACTCTCTTTTGGCCAGGTTCACGTATGGCAGCCCAAGTGGCAAATTATGGGCCACACTTTCGGGGGTTCATAAATTAAGGACTCCATTCACATGCACAGAGAAAGAAATATAAAAGTAATTTTAATAAATTTAAATATTTATTAAATACTTAAACTGCATAAAAATGCAAAGAAAACATTAATTTAAGCGTGGCAAATGGCTAAGAAATCTGATGGATTGCTAAGGATTGTTCTTTTTCTGCCAGTGCTCCCTGCCTTGGGGGGTGAATGCCTCCCAATATTGTGGCCAGGACTTGGCTGCTTTTTTGGTCAGTCATTAGCTGGGGCCAGGACATTCTCGGCACTCACACAATATATGCATATTTGGGGTCTATATATGGCATTCCTCACGCAAGCACAACCTGCGGCACGAACCCACAATCAAAAGGTGTTTCTAATTTATGAATCAACGCAATTAGCTTTAATAACCCCGCCCTGTGTCCGAATTAGCCGGACATATGTGGGCGTTGACTGGATATTCAGCAGTCGCCATTCGGCATTTGGCACTCGTTCGCATTCATTAAGCTGAATCGGAATGACAAACGCTTTTGCTTTTGTTCAACAGATGGAGATGATTGTCATAAATTTCAAAGCCGCCAAAGGACAGCAAAGAGTGCGGCATGAGCAAAAGTATATGTATGTACAAATAAAGCAAACACTGAGAGTGCAATTAATTAGGGTCTTGGCCATAAATGATATTAATTTGCTCTTAATTCAAGCTGAAAACCGACTTCAAATAATACATGATAATTTAATATCGAACTCATTCTGCTTTATCTTTTCCCACAACAACTTTTCATTAACCCGGAAGATGCTGATTCTGTGTGGCCATTGTAATCGAAGCCACTGCAAAGCCATTGCCAAAGCCTTGGCAACCATTGGCAGACTCTCGACCGCAACTGGATTTGTTTGATTTGAATTTGGTTTGATTAAGGCGTCGAGGCGTTTTAATTAAAGCGCCGAGAGCCAGCCTTGCCAAGGCCCAAACACAAACAAACAAACGAGGCAACAACATAGCACAAGCCAGAAAGTTTTAGCCAAGAAAAGGAAAAGTTACGAGCATGCCGGGCTTCGTTCGCGACAAGTTCGAGCTGATGGTGATGACTGTGACTGTACGTTGTTCTTGTTAACGCATTCCTGCCAGTAATTTGGCCAGAAACTTTGTCAGGCACAGTGGGTATACTGAAAAAGGGGATCATATAATTATAATATAATTAATATCGGTTAAAAAATAAAAATTGGCTTAGTTATGAAATTTTTAAGTTTTGTTTTGTCGAAAAATTTCATATAAAAATATTGTTAATTTCGGTTAAAAAATGGTAATGGCCCTTCAGTCAGAAGCTTAAAAGAAAGTGAAGGAGTCATTTCCGACCCTATAAATCATATATATTCTTGATCAGCATCAACAGGCGAATCTTTTAAGCCATCTCCGTCCGAAAAAATTTTTTTTCCGAAATTTCCCATTTTTGTAAAAAAAGGAAAGGGGTTACATCATGAAAATTTGCAAAATCGGACAAAAATTTACATTTTAAACGGAGTATGCAGTTTTGTTAACCTGCTAAAAATTAACATACTGCCGCTTTCCGAATTGAAATTAATGCGTTTTTGGCTCAGTTATGAAATTTTTGAGTTTTGTTATGTCGAAAAATTTCATATAAAAATATTGTTAATTTCGGTTAAAAAATGG